AACTGCTCCAGAGACTTTACCGATCCTCAGCGACTTTTGTCATTGTTAAAAACGACTGCCGTTGTGTTTGGCGACTCTGTTCTGTTACATACAAATAAACAAATACAATTATGATGTAGGCCAGAAAAATGAGCTTCCCCTCCTTGAAAGACCAGCAGCCGCCACTGATATATACATATATATATATAGAGAGAGAGAGAGAGTCAATCGAATCCAACGTTCAAAGGTTCAAAAGTTTCTTTACTTATACCTTGTGGTAAATTTTGTTTGCAGGCAGGAACCCAGCCGTCCAGATAAGACACACATAAAAACAACAATACAACAATCAAGTACAAAAAATGCCAGTCATTAAGAGCCATGAAATCACATAAAATCTCTCCAGATCCAAAGGTTCAATAATAGCCCTGCCATTGAGCTTTGCAATAGCTGCTGGAACAAAGGTGGTTCTGTAACGCTTGGTCCTGGCCTTGGGGACCAAGAAGCGACAGTCGGAGGGAAGGAGCTGGAACTCGCTATGCAGAGGTTGCGAGCTGTCCAAAGCAATAGCGCTGGCTTTACGCTGCAGCTGGGCCTCATAGAGAGCTGTCATGAGGAGTTGAGGCTCCCCAATTAGCCTTCCAGCCCATTTAACAATCTGGCCCAGAGCAGTGCCCAGTGCAAAAGATAAAACAGACTCTATAAAAGCTTGGTAAAAGAGAACAAGCATGGTCTTATCAACATTAAAACATACCAGTCGCCGGAGGTAAAACAAACGCTGATGTCCCTTCTTACACACAGCTTCACTGTTTTGTTTACACGACAGTTTTGAGTCAATAACAGTCCCAAGGTATTTGTAACTTCCCACACATTCCACAGGTTGCCCCTTGATAACTGTGGGATTGTGGTTTGGTGTCTGGGTTCTAAAATCAATGACCATGTCCTTTGTCTTGGATGTGTTAATCACCAAAAAGGACTGATCGCACCAACTGCTAAAATCCTGCAGGACTGGACCATGGCTTGTTGTCTACATCATGCAACAGACTCACAATAACAGTGTCATCCGCAAATTTTAAAATGTGTCTGTTTTCATACACACTTCTGCACATATTTGTGTAAAGGATAAAAAGCAAAGGGGAGAGAATGCATCCCTGAGGAGAGCCAATTATTGGGCTACTCTCAGAAAAATAGCCCATTATTATTAACCCATTCAAAAAACCCTCAAACTGGGGTACAATAGAATCCATATGATCCAAGAAATTGGTATGGATCTGCAAAATAACCAAGAAATTCAACTCAACACATATAACCCAGGAATTGGGTTGAAGAAATAACCCAAGAGTTTTTAGAGTGTACAGGCTGTAATGGTCTGAGGTATGACAACAAACAAACAAAAAAAAATACCCTGCACTGCATCACACTAGATCTAACAGGCCTGCACTGTAAACACCACCAACAAGTCACACACAGTGTTCATTTACATTTAGATAAGTTCACCAATAAGCAAGTACATGCAGCTGCAGACCTGCACACAGACACAGACATTTACACTGATAGATGCAGATCTACAGCCACACACACTAACAGCAGCCCTGCACACAAATATGCATCCTCTCCCTTCACACGTGCATTTGAGGGTGTGATTTTTCATGTTTTGTCCATTTAAATACACAAAAATAAACATCTGATGGACAGTTAAATGCCATGAATAATAAAATACCAGGGCACACACACAAAATGATGACCTAAAATACCCTCTCTAAGGGTACAGCACAGTTTGTCACTCCTGTCTTAAGTGCACTCAACAGACACACGTGCACAGATAAAACCAAGCATACACACACACACACACACACACACAGGTATAGTTCGATGTATGCTTATGGGCACACCTATATTTGCATCTAGAAAATGTTGCACAAGTATGCACACACCAACTGAATCAGAATGCAGCCACAGTCTAACAAACAAGACAACACACACAGACACATACAACACATGCGGCTCTTTTCAGTGTCTGTGCTCACCAGATCATCCAGGATGCTGACGGGGAAATCAAACATGCACATCTTGACTGGCTGAGCCAGGGCTCTGTGCAGGCTGAACAGGGACTTGGCTTCCATGCTGCACACTGCCCAGCTGCTACGTGCTGGCTGGCAAAACAAACATACACTCAAATGAAAATTAAAGTAAAAAATAAAAACAAAACAAAAAATCGATGAGGATTTCCCTGAGCTGGCTGCTTGTTGCTCTGCCTCTCAACCACGACTGCGAGGAATCCGTGTCTGTGAAGAAAGAGGAACCCCTCCACCTCTACCTCCTTCCTCCTCCTGTTCCTCGCCTTCCCAGCCACCAACAACCCGTGTTTCCCCCTCTCCCTCCCTCTCCCACTTCTCGTCTTTCCTCCCCTCCTCCTTCCTCTTCTTGCTCTCTCTCCAGGGAGCGTCTTGGCTGTCAGCAGCAGCTCTCTCGTCTTTCCGTCTTCAGGAGGTATTGCCCAACACTCGACTGTTGTGCCATGACCACAGCGTGTTTGTTTGCTCTCTTGGTTCACTGTGACGTTCAGGCTCAAGTGCTCAACTCTCCTCTGAACGGCATTCAAACAATAGAAGAGAGAACATTGCCAAATTGAGTGCAGCAGGTACATAAAGGGACTGCGGCTCTCTTCGTGCAACAGAGATCTGATCTTAAGAGGACCAGCTCTGTTTAGTACGTGCAGAGTCAGAGTCATCTGTCTGTGTGAGCCCATTAAAGATGAAGCAGGGTGACTGTTTCTGTGGCTGATGTATGAATCAGACTCCACTCTCATTAATGCTGCTGGTAAATATAAAAGCAGACGCTCTGGCCAGTTACCAGGCTTCATATGGAAAACTGTTTGCTTTGGAGAGGAGTCTGGAAATCCTCCAGCTGCTGTGGATCTGACTCTTGCCTTTTGAAGGAGTTGATCAAATTTATGATGGTGATAAGTAACTGGGTTTTTGTGTTGCTGCACCTGATATAGACCTAAACCGCCTGTCAATCAAACACTGTAGGTGGTTCTGTGGTATCTCTTCCTGTGGATAAAATTTGCACTTTGTCAGGCAGCTGGCTGACTCTCCAACTCTTTGGTGCCTCAGAGCAACTTTTAGTGTCTCAGGTTTTTCTCTTTGTTTTATTTTATTAATGAATTGCGCAGTAGCTAGTGGGTACATGCAAGTCCAGCCACCTTTAGTAGCTGTTGTCAAGGAGCTAGAAAACAGTTAGCCCGCAGATAGAGTGCTCGCTTGAAAATAGAAAAAAAAAAGTTCATCGAAAAGGTATTGAATTGTTTCTTGAAAAGCAAACACAGTTTGACAATGCAGAAACAAAATTGAGACAGAACAACATAGGACTGCTGCTGCACACAGTGCCAGCTCAAAGATCTACAAACTATTCATATGTTTGAATAGCAAATCAATATTCATTTTCCATCTCATTGATATGAATCATCTCTCAGTACCTGTGTCCACTAACAGCTTTTTTTTAAGGTTTCTACTCAGTGGTGCTTCCCTTTGCAAGGTTATCAAAGTTATTTTACCGCACTTCTACTAACTTCACCATCGAGTCTGCTTTCAATGGTTCTGTATGCTCAATATTTACTATAAAAATAGAGAAACTGTGTCCTGACAGTAGAAGCTGCTCAGATGAGGGGATCCTTTTTGTGCACAGGACTGAAAATACAATGTAATAGGCGATGTCTTTAAAGTCCCACTCCAACTGTTTTTTTGTTGTTGTTGTTGTTTTACTACTGAAAGTGTTCTCAGCAGTCTTAAATTGTGATTATGAAGTTTCCTGTGTTATTTTCAAGGACTTTTCTTTTGCAGAGCTACAGTAGATCATTGGCAATTTGCCTCTGAGTTGTGGGCGAAGACAGTGCTGCTCTGCACACTCCTCTTCATGCTAGCTTGCAGCCTAATATTGCCGGTGTAGTAGATAGTGGAGTCCCTAAGCCCAAAAAATGAGCTGTAAACTTCAAGTCATGCTACAAATATCCCCTTTGGTATGGAAGTACCTTAGGGTCATAGAAAACATTGTAGCTAAAGAGACAAGTTAGATCACCCTTCAATTTTTTTTTATCGCCATTTTAAAAATGGCCACCAACAATAAACCGCCAATACACCAGACCCCGTATCTTTGCTTCTGTTAGAGCTATAATCATAATATTGGCGTCAAAGTGCACATTTTTGGGGTCTATGAATTCAATTAAATAGGTTTCAATGTAAAAAACCCAATGCATCATTAATTACCATGACAACAGGGGGTAAAATATGCAAATTTCATGAACAAAATAAGTGTCAAAAAGGAGACTTTAAAAATGCCCCCCTAAAAAAGAAAAAGAAAAGAAAAAAAGAAAAGAAAAATGGTACAGCCTCTTATGTACTCTATGTGTCTCTGTCTGACTGCATTTGTATCTGTCTGTATGACTGCTGAGTGTAACACCTCTCGTAGCCATTTGCTGCCACAAAACATGAATTCTATACCAGGGTCTGTGACAGCTGGATGAAATCAGAGGTGACAGAAAATCTGAGACACTTTGAGGTTCAGTTTGAGGTTTGTATTACTTTCCTATTTAATACAGAAGATACTCAAGAGAAGTTTTGTAAGTGGTGGAGAAAGTTTACAGGAGTGATCAGTGTGCGATGCAGCATCCTGCAGCATCCTGCCTTCGTCTGTGGGGTGCTGATAGTGGGGATCTGCTGGACTTGGATGAATCAATGATTATGCCCCCAGGTGTGGTAGAAAATGTAAGGAAGCATGCATTTGTTGACAAGCGAATCAGGTCACAGGAAGAGGCATTCACTGCTCCAATACCACACACCAGGCTGAAGTTGTTCAAGGCTCGGCTTTCCCAACCACAAAGCAAATCAGAGGTGGCTGTTGTCAAGGACCAACATGCACAAGTGACCAAACTTTTGCTGGCTGTTCATTCTGGTCGCGAAATCAATGAGGGTGTGTTTTCGCATTAAAGTTCCCACCACCCACCCTCTCTCACTCGGAAAGGGAAAATGCACCATGGAAACAAGAGTGAGATCCTAGATTGCATTGTTCCCAGGGATCTTGACAAGCATAGACCAGTGACAACTGCAGCTGTGTTGGATGGTGCTGTACTTGTCCAAATGCTTCGTCCTGGAGGTGCTGTGACCACTGGACAGTATTTCACTGACGTGTTAGCACCATACATCCTTTCCTGGTTTGACAGAAATAACCGCATTGACATTGTCTGGGATGTGTACTCCAAGACAAGTCTGAAGTCAGACATCCGGGAGCAAAGAGGCACTGGTGCGAGGAGGAGGGTGACTCTCTCAACCAAAGTTCCTGGGAACTGGGCTGCCTTCCTACGGGTGGATCTGAACAAGCAGGAGTTATTTGTGGAGCTGGCCAAAAGCTTGAAGCATATGACATTTCCACAGGTATTACTGTATGAATTAGTGTGTCTTCTGGATGGTTGTACATGCTGTAGTCAATAAGTCTGACTTCATTAACATATCTTCAATTACACTGTCTTATTTTAGGGCAAGGAGCTATTCACCACGATACGTGATGGATGTGTAACATCAACAGCTGGCATTAACACTAATGCATTGGCCCCTTGCACACAAGAAGAAGCAGATACTCGGTTGTTTCTGCATGTGGCTGCAGCTACACTTGCTGGACATCGTAGAGTGATGGTCCGCAGCAGTGATAGCGATGTTGTAGTGTTGGCCATTGCCGCTTTTGTGGCCCTTGAACAGAGGATGGATGAGCTCTGGATATTTCACTTAAGTATTTCACTTAATTTGGCAAATAAGTAACCAATTCATTTTCCCTCACCAGGTACATTCCAGCACATGCTATTGCTCACAGCCTGGGACCATCAAAGGCAATGGCACTGCCAGCATTCCAAGCTTTAACAGGGTGCGACACCACCTCAGCTTTTTTTGGCAAGGGCAAGAAGACAGCCTGGTCTGTGTGGCAGTCCATGCCTGAACTGACCTTGCCTCTTCTGCTGCTCTCTGGTCCTAGCCCTACAACTGAGATTATCAAAACCAGCACACCCATACTCCAGAGATTTGTTCTGAAGCTGTATGGCGTGTCCAAGGACGACATCAGGACTGAAGATGCTGCTTGACTCTCCCTTTTCCTTCACAAAGGAAGAGACTTTGATCACATGCCCCCAAGCAGTGATGCACTCCATCAGCACCTCCTCCGAGTAGCTTATCAGGTAATGATATAAGACAGCCATACATACGGGCATACTATTTAAATGTCAGAAAGTATATCACGAATCGTATTTTTCTTTACAGAGTGGACATGTTTGGGGCAATATACTGATCAAAGACGCTGCTACTGTCTCACCCTCACAGTGGGGATGGCAGCTGGATTCCCCAGACAGAGCACCCACACCTCTGTACACGACTACTACAATTATTTCAAGGGACTTGCCAGAACTTGTTATTTGCAAGTGCAAGACAGACTGTAAGCCACCTTGCAAATGCTGCATGCAGAGGCAGCCGTGCATGTCTCTCTGTGGATGTCATAGTTCATGCACCCGTTATGATGCTATGGAATTGTAAATCTCTGCTGTATTACTTAAATGACATTTACATTTGTAAAACCCTTTATTTCGGAGATGAAGGGTGATCTTGTCTCTTTGGATAAAATGTTTCCTATGGCCCTAAAGTACTTCCATGCCAAAGGAACAGTAAATCTCAGTTTAGGGGGAGGGGTGGGGGGGTAAGTTACCCTGTCAAAATGTACATTTTATAATGAAATTTGCATACTTTAGGGACTTGAGCACAAACCAGTCTTACAATAACTACATGTCAACATCGCAAGCGGGGGGGAGAAAAATTTATGTTCTGTGTAACACATTTCTAAAGTTGGTCCACAGCCCCATAAGCTTTGCTGGCGGAGGCAGGATTTATGACCTATACTGCAGCCCATCAACAGAGGGTGCTGTTCTCGGAGTGGCTTCACCCGCAAGGAGGCAGACGGCGTCCATTCTATATACAGTCTATGCTTCAGACTGAGTGTGACAAACTGTGGATGGGTTTTATATCCAACGATATTTAGGTTTATTACAGCCGCTGGGTGTTACACTGTAATGGTGTGGCCTGAAGCACCCCTGTGCGGCTTTTAGTGTTATTTGACCTCAGTTGTTATATCACTGCATTCTTTGTGTGTGTTATGTGTGTTTAGCTCACAGTCATACTACTTCAATTCTGTAATGTTAATACATTTATTGTTCATTTATTTCTATATTCCAGGAAACCACAACTCAACACACCCTGTACCTTGTTCATGTGTGGAACCATTAAAGAAGGAAAACAAAACACTCTGGAGTAGTTGCAGATTTTCTAACTGAAAACTAAGGACAGACTTTGTACGTCAGCATCCATAACAAATAATCCACATGCAGAAATACTCAGAAATGCAATTTTGCTCTTAGTTTTCTCATGATATGTCCTGTAGCATCAGAAAAATGCCAATGCTCTCATCCATACATTGGATTACTATTTTATTGTTTTTGGTTGTTTTTGTTTGCATTTTTTTTTTTTTTTTGCTGCATTAGAGTTTCTAAATTTACTGAACGTTCACCCAAAATGAGCTGAATACTCTCAGCCTGCCTTCAGTGTTTTCAGGTGAGAGGCTCTTCACAGCAGCAGAGACATCCTCCCCTCTAACCGGACTTCATATCAACATTTTGATTTCTGCTGTCTTATCTTTGCACCCGGCTGAACCTAAAGGCCCATCAGCCTCCTGCAAACTCTCAGAAATGTAGGTCACACTGCTTTTAGCCTATATGGCTGGAGATGTGATAGAGAGGAAGCAAGTTTGTTCTGACCTGAAAATAAAACTGCCTCAGAGGGTGAAAACGTGACAGTTTTGTTTCTGAAAGCCTCAGAGGTTTTTTTTTTTAAATCTCACCTATCGCTCAAGTCATATTGTGTGTTTGTACTGCAGCGCTGCTCTGGTCGCTTTGTGCCTCACTATTGTGCAAATGAACAAAAACTTCACTATTAACAATACGCTGTGAAATTATTGACCATGTCCTAGAGGAAATGTATTGCTAAATGAAACACAGTGATCTTGAACAGCTTGCTCACACATTCCCTCATTTATAGACTTTTCAGAGCAAATATTTGCATATTGAAAGGACGGAAAGAGTAAATATTTTAAGTGGTGTTATGGCTCTGAGTCCCAGTTTGGAGTCTTCAGAAACAGGGGCAGAATCCAGCCCTGATTCACATGCATGTTGTGATCCAGGAGAGGAGGGTGAAGATGAAGTGCTTTAAAAACAGAGACAGCAGAAGAAGATGAAGAAGAAGAGAGCAGCTGAAGGGAGAGAGCAGGAGGGCCTGAAACACCACTGGGAACTGTTTTCTGATGCAGAGGCCGTCCCACGGATGAATACTGTAGAAGAGTGGTTGTCATGGAAACAGGGAGGCAAAGCCAGCTCTTCATAGGGCTACATAAGACTGAACCCCCTCCCCTGCTCCTCCACCCCTCCCTTCCTTCTCTACAGATATTCAGCCAGGACAGGAAGTGGGACTGAAAGCTGCAGGTTAGCTTCCTGTGGACTGGGACAAAGGCAGGACGGGTGGTGCAGGTACACACAAGGTCAGTTTATCATCACTGATCTACAGCATGATGATTTGATCTTGTTTAAAGAGGTGTGAGTACAACTTTTAGAGGATGCAGCTAACAAACTCACACAATGGAGGAAGACAGAGGATGTCAAAGTTATCCTTCACTCCCTGCAGAGCGTGCAAGTGCAGCTCCGATTTTAGCTTTGATTTTTTGTCATCACAGCTTTTTGTTTTGGTTTGATGTAGAGCTGCTATGGCAGCTGCCATAGAGAATGTTACCAGGATTGAAATGTCTGAAATAAATACTAATGCCTCCTAATGAGCTACAAAAACAAACCAGACCATCAGAGACCATCACTGATGATTTCTACACACTTTATTTTCATGTCTGTCACTCCTGCCGTGTTGAGCAAAGAGCCTCATTATGCAAAACTCTGCAAACCTTGCAGGAAGAAAATGAACCCTTCTGATTTTTTTCATAAGGGGGCGCCAAAATCGACACAACTCAAGAGTTCCTTGAGGAAGCGTTTATATGCCCATCTTCAAGGATCAAAAAAAAAAAAAGATAATAAAACCTTCATTACACTTCATTGAATGAGACAGAAACTTGACAAAATCCTTTAATAAAGACAACTTTGATGTGCTTTGAGAAAAGCATGCAAGGAGAAGAGCAGTAGGAGCAGGATGAGAGAGGAGAGCAGGAAGAGGAGCAGGAGGAGGCGAGAGGAGAGCAGGGAGAGGAGCAAGATGAGTAGAAGAAAGGAGAGCAAGGAAAGGAGAGAAAAGAGCAGGGAGAAGAGCAGGAGGAGAAGAGAGGAGAGCAGAGAAATGTATGGACAGACAGAATGGGTGTGTGTTGAGGGAGGACAGGTGCAGGTTTGTGTGTGTCACCTCCTCCTCCTCAGATACAGCCTCATTTCGTGGGAAACTCAGAGTTCATTTCAAAAATCAGGAAAAGAAATGGAATGGAATCTCAAAAGGTCGGAGCTGCTTCAAAAATTTCCTCTGACTAGATGTTTGGAGGGCAGAGAGGACAGATTGATGAAATGATTTAAAGGCTTTTCCTGAGCCTGAAATCAAAACTACAGAAACTGTAAAAGAAAAGATAAAAGGAATAACAGAGCAACAAGCAGACTTCATGTTACAGGACAGCAGAGAGTCTGGAAAGAAAAGTCGCCTCCAGTCAGCATGAGCACGCCTGCAAATGATTACAGTGTCTGCATGCACACACACACACACACACACACACACACACACACACACACACACACACACACACACACACACACACACACACACACACACACACACACAGAAAAGACTGATCCGGTCACTTGGAAACGTGGACAGTTGGGATTTAAAAGCAGATTTGCAGATGAATTAGAGTCACAGATGAACGGAAAAGCAGAGCAAAACAATCTGACTGAGAAACACTTAGCAACAAGTCTCAATGCTTACACTGCTTCTGCATTTTACAACACTTTCCATACACAAGCACATGCACAAAAATGTCTCTGACAAGATATTTCAGGGACAGACCTTTCCACCACACACACATTAGACTAATGCTTCGGAAGAAAAGAGAGAAATAGAGAAAAGAAAAACCCCCGGGACTAAAAAGTGCAGAAAAAAAACCTAATTCTTGTCACATTCCATCAGACTAAGAAATCAGATCTGCTTGACGTGAAGTCAAGCTTCAAGAACAGAGTGCTTTCTGAATTGTTGAGCAGAAAACAGAGCAACAACAGAGAGCTTCAGCTTTATCCCCCACTCTGACAATAGTGGGGAAAAAACAACAAATACATGATTCAAATGAGGATAAACATCTATAATACCAGCGGGAAGAAACAGGATTTACATGGAGAGGAGAAAGGAGCAGAATCAAAATGAGTTTTACAGTCAAATCCAGGCGATGCATTCAAAAGCTGCTGTGTTTGTGAGGGTTCAACAGACCCTTTAAACTGTGTGGAGCCTCACATCCTGCTCAGCAGTGACCTTTGACACAATTCATCATATTCAATGGATGAGATGTGTTGGTACTAAGCTTGGAGAGTAGATAAATGTTGGTTGCCACAGAAATATTAAAGAGACTTTTTTTATGTCTTTTAAATACATCAAACAGGAAAGTTATAGTCCTCTCATACTATCTTATCATCTAATCATGAATTCACATCAATCATTTAGACCCAGTCTTATGTCTTACAACTCCTCCATCCATCTATTTACTGTGGTTTCCACGCCTAGGATTCTGTTATCGGAGCATATCCCAGCATGCACTTAGGCATGAAACAGACTACACCCTGGACATGTTGATGCCCATCTATCACAGAGTGATCACATAAGAACCTCCAGGAATCCAGATTTTCCACCTCAGCTAACACACATCTCTCATCTTTGCAGAGAGAAAATTGAGAAACAATAAATCAATACACAGCAACAAATAGAAACTGATCAGCTTTAGAAGACTGATCAATGGATCAATATACGAGGCATCAACAACAGAATGATCCTCAGCCGTGTAAAGCTGATCATTAACTTATGCATCAAACACAGGCAGAGTCATTTTTAGGAAGTGACATCATCTATTTATCAATCATTTATTGTTCAGAAATTACCTTCAGAGATGAAAAGATCAATAATCATTTAATTTAAAAAAAGGATGTTGGCTGATTGACACAAAAAATCCAGACATTTCTTATTTGAACCTCTTCAAATCAAAGATTCACTTCCTTACTTGGTTCCTTATCAGTTTTGGACTTTACGTCACCTTTTGATGGTCTGTTCTATTGAAACTGTTGATTTTTAGTATCAGCTGAAATTTGCCCCATTGACGGATATCAATCTGCAGATAATGCGCCAAGTGCTGATGCCAGCAGCCAATTTATCGGTATCTCTATCCCATCAATTTCATGTTGGAAAGCTGGAGCCCCTTATTGCTAAATCTAAGGAGATAGTTTTTGGCCTGAAAATGTCACCTGCTGGATGAAAACTGGTTGGCATCCTGGTCAAATGTGAGAGGAAATGCAGG